CCTGCCTGCACCAGGTACCTGCGGCACAGCAGCCCCATGGGCCAGAGCCCCCCAGATGCAGGGACACCCACCACCACCACCCGGTCCCTTCTCACCCAGCACCGCCCTCTCCAACGGGTTTTCATCCACCTCATGGCTCTGCGGGTGGCTGAGAAGGGGGCTAGCCCAAAAAACCCAGCAGGAGGGTCGGAGAGAGGACAAGAAGCCCCATGGGGACAGATGGACAGATGGGGATCTCATGTCCTGGTGGTGTGGGGGATTGCTCTGCATTAGACAGGGTGGGCTCATGCAAATGGTGTTTGGTGGGATAGAAACACACCTGCAGCCGCATCTCCAGGGGGGACAACAAGGTCTTAAAGTGCATGTCCTGATTTCACCTTGGCACGGGTGGATTTCCCTTCCTCTCCCCCCGCAGACACACATTTTACACTGGGCGCTGCAGTACAGTGTCTCTCCTTGGAGGGCAGTGTGTGAGCTGAAGGCAGTGAAATTTGGGCTGGGGATGGGGTGGAGGATTTAACATGTACGTGCTCAAGTTTGGCCACGAAATCTGCTCCTGCTGCCTGCCTGAGTGACCTGGAGTCCCACCACCCTGCATTCACAACCATCAGCATTTGGGAGCAGGGACCACCCCAGGCCTGCACAACACCCGGCAGAGATGTCCCCTGGGCGTGAAGAGAAGCTGGTGCAGGCGCCACTCCCAAAACAAGCTAAGTGCAAGATGCAGGCAGTGGGATCCCCCCATCTGGGCAGGGATGGGCACCATGATGAGAAGCAGGATGGGGGTCCCTACTCGATGATGCGCTCCCGGGGGTGAAACGGAGACAGGGAGTCCAGGCCCAGCCGGCTGACCACCTGCAAGGAGCAGCACCGCCGCATCAGCCCCATTGTGATAAGTCCCGTTGCATCCTCATTCCCTGCTGTTCATTAACCATGGGTGATCCAGCCCTAGGGCAGAGTTGCTCGGGCCACCACCCGGGGAGAGGACAGCTGACGTCACCAGCTCGTCCCATCCCAGATCTGGGGGCGGCGTGCGGCTGCCTAGAAATGACTGGAAACTGCACTGATAAATAATTAGCTTGCTCTTATCTAGCACATTCCCCATAGGATGGAAAAGTCCCTCCCTCCTGCAGCTGAAAAGCAGAGCCCGTCCCCTCGTTTCCAGCTTACGCTGGTCCGAGGGCAGTTTCCCATAAGGCCACACACTGTCCTTGAGCTCTGGGGAGGTCTCCTTCCCCTCCTGGCCTCCATGCAGGCAAGCTGGGCAGCTGCTGCCCGCGCTCTGTCCTCACAGGATGGGGTCTCTGCTCCCTGAGCATCTCAGCGTCCTCAGGACAATAAAGCAACTTGTCCCACTTGCTGTGCCCTCATAGCTTGCCAGGCACCATCCCTGGTGACAAGTGTCATGCCTGGGGGCTGCTGTGGTCCCAAATCTCTGCTCAGTGCCACTTTGGGGGGCTAGGCAGGGTGGGTATGTCTCTCTCATTATTCCACCCTCGTCTTGGTACCAGGAGGAGCCACGTTACCAGCCTGATCTTTTGTTCCTCCTCCAGGATGAAGAGTTTTTCCTTCTTGATGTAAAACTCGGCCGTGTCTAGCATGGCCTTCTTGGGGACAAGCCCCACCAGCTGGGACCCCACCACGGGGAGGTTCAGTGCCTGCGAAGGACATCAGAAATGTGACTGTCCCCAGAGCCACCTGCCTTGCCGCTGCTACCACCCCAGCCTGGTCGTCCTCATCCCTTCCCAGGACCTGGGGAGCTCATGGAAAAGCCTTCAATGGAGGAGCTAGGGGCTGGGGGCTAGCAGCAAGTTGCTGAGCTTTTGGGGTTTTCGTGCCATTCAGCGCTCTGCCCAGCTTGGCTGAGCTGAGCGTGAGATAAATCAGAGCCTGACCTGGGGATGGGGAGAAAAACTTGGAGGGAGACATCCTCTGTGAAGCCCCCATTGAAACATGTGTGGCATGTTGCCCTGAATCACGCACCTCCGCGTCTCGGCAGACCTCCTCGTAGACGGTGTGGAGCGGTGTGGTCTCAAAGTCCAGCAGGTTCGTTGAAACCTGGGCTATATTCTCTTCCTCCAAATACCAGCCAATGCCCTGCACCCGCTTCAAGCGCCCGGGCTGCCAAGAACTGCCACGGTCAAGGCATGGCCCAGGAGGTGCGGGGGCAAGCAAGTCTGCTCCCGGCGTGCCACTGGCACGTGGGTACCTGGTCGGCACTGCGACCCTGCTCGCGGATGTTGAGGGCAATGCGGTGAGCCAGCTCCTTGGTGCACAGCAGGTTGACATTGTACGCAATAAGGAAGGTCCGGGCACCCGTCACCGTGGCCCCCCACCGGGGAACAAAGGTTGCGGGCCCAAAATCGGGAGCCCACTCTGGTTTTGCAAGCTGGGGAGGAGGGAGGAGAGTGTGTGGGCTGGCACTGCCGAGCAGCACGAGCCACCCTCCCAGGAATGGCACGGCCCTCCCCAGCCAGCATCTGCCACAACCACCTCCATGTTCAGCTGCACCCAAAGCGTTTCATCAGCTCCTCTCGGTGTGAAGGGACTATGCCAGCCCCTGGCACCCTCCCTGTAGCCAGGGAGGCGGACTCAGCTCTGCCTGGCCCATGGTGCCCAGCCGGGTGCTGCCAGGCTCACCTTCTCGGGGAGCGCCTCGTACTCCCCGGCGCGGATGGCAGGCAGGGCTTTCCTGCTCTCCTCCCGCGCCGCCTCTCCGTACAGGTAAACTGCAAGACAGAGCCAGGGGTGAGCACCGCTGGCCAGGGGCTGGCGGCACGTGGTCTAGCAGGTCCAGTTTTGCTCATTTGGGAGCAAACCCCACTTGTTAAGCTTTTGCAAAAGGTGTGCAGTTTCTCCACAGCTGGAAGCATGTGGGGTGGGATGGGACGGGACGGGCAGAGGTTCCTGGTCCCCACTCACCAGGCACCCCCAGTTCCGCTGCCAAGCGCTGCCCAAAGACATGGGCGCAGGTGACGCACTCCTCCATGCTGACGTTCATCACCGGCACGAAGGGGCAGACGTCCAGGGCCCCCATGCGAGGGTGTTCGCCTGGTGATGGGGCAGATATAAGGATGGGAGCTGAAAAGAGCAAGCAGACAAGGAGGGAGGACGGCCCTTTCCCAGCCTCTTTTGCAGACTGGGCACTGCCGCCGCGAGGAAAGTTGAGTTTGTGGCAGTAATGTCTACTCCCGCCCAGGATTCAGCCTCTCTGGATCGGGAGGACGAGCAAGCGCTTTGCACGGTCCCACCACCATCCATCCCGGCAGCACCGCTTGCTGCACGTGCAGTAACGTGCCGTGCTCGGCCACCAGCAGCTGATTTTAGCTCCAGCCATGCAAGGTGCACCTGGAGCCAACCACGCACCACAGCCGAGGGATACTCCGCGCCTGATCAGCTTCAGCGCCACCCCAAAGCTCACCCATGTGCCGGCTCATGTCAATGAGCTGCCCAGCCACGCGGGCCGCGCTCAGTGCCCCTTCAACGATGGCCTCAGGGGACCCCACGAAGGTGTAGACGGTGCGGTTGGTGGAGGCACCAGCGTCCACATCCAGCAGCACGCAGCCCGGCGTCCGGGATATGGCCTGCCCTAGCGCATCGATCACCTGCCGGATAGCGGAGGGGAGCAAGGCAACTGAGCCAGCCAGACCCCCGACACAGCCCCAGCTTCACAAGGTAGGGGACGCCTCAGTTCTCCCCCTTCCCACCGGTGCTGGGGTTGGGGATGACCCCACGATCAGTGGGGATGCAGCCCTGTGCTGCAGAGGGTGCAGAATCCAAAGGCACGAGCATCCCACTCCTACCCAGGGGGTTTGGGACACCCCTGGCTCCCAGTGAGCCCCAAACCCACCGTGGTGGGAGAGAGACACCCAGCTGCTGCTGCACGTCGGAGATCACCATCACAAATTGCTGTTCCTGAGGATGCTGTCCCCTGCCAACTTCAAAACATATTTAGCTCTGCAAAGCCTGTTCCCTGGAGGAAGCAATGGTTTTATTGCAATTTTGGGTTTCCTGAATTCCCCTGCCCCCAGCAGGGCCAAAGTTCAGCCTTGGGCTGATGCCCAGCACAGATCCCATTAACCTGGATGGCATGTTTTGGCACAACAACTGCAAGCGATATTTCTCTAAGGGGGTATGCCAGACCACCCCAAGCCCTGGTGCTACAGCAACCTGCAGGCAGTGGGGAGGTGGGGTCTGAGCCCCCACTTCTCACCAAGGTGCCAAAAGGGAGCAGAGGCTGCCTTTGGGCATTTTCAGCATTAGCCAGACACGGAAAGATGCACAGCACTTCAAAGGAGGCAGGGCAGAGTTGGCAGCAGGTGCTGCCTGCACAGCCCTTCTGCCAGAGCAGCCCAGCCGTCTGCACCCCATCATTGCCCACCCCTCAGCCCCTCCACGCACTCCCTCACCTCCTTGTTATTCCCCTCCGAGAAGTTGGGGACACACTCCACCAGCTTGGCCATGGTCCCAGGGTCTGCCTGCACCCTGTGGCCTCCGGCTCAGCTCCTCGTACCCTGTGGGCTTGTCTGCCTTTCCGCTGCAGGGCAAAAGCCTCCCAACACCCAACCCATTGCCTCTTCCCGGAGCCGGGGTTTCTCATTAACTGCATCGATCAGCGGCCAGGAGTCAGAAAGGGTCTTGGATAAACAACATGGTATTGTACCTTCTGTGTCTGGAGCACCTCAGGACACAAGGGCGCTGACTGCTTGCCAGGGCCAGCCTTGAACACTAATTACCCACCAGTGCCAATTAATTGCTAGGAGAAGGTGATGCCACATGAAGAAAAGCATCTGCTGTGTCCAGCATCACGCTGTAGCTACCAGATGGGACAGCCTGCTCCCGTCCAGGGCAGAGCAACAGGACCACCAGCACAATGCGATGGTGGGGACAGCAGCTTCTCAGGACCCCCAGCGTGGGCACCCCAGGTCCTCCAGCATGGGCACCAGGGTGGCAGATAAAAGCTCTCGCTGTGAGCAGGATTCGA